ACCGCGCCCGGCTCCCCCTTCACTATTAATGACTTTCCTAGCATTAATTATCTAACATACTTTTTGTTTTGTTTATTGTCTCTTTCTCCACTGTAATGTAGACTTTATGATGAGGAGGAAGTTTTGACTGTGCCATTCACTGTCATATCCTCAGCCTTTAGAATAATGCCTGACTCCATAGTAGGTGCTCAGTAAATATTGGTTGAATGAATGAGTGACTGATTACATTGTTTTCAATTTAGGTATACTGTAATTTATTAATTTATTAAATAATTATCCTTGGTGTACATTTAGGTTTTGTTGTTTTTTTTTTGTTTTTTTTTTTTTTAGTTTTCTTTACTTTTATAAACAATGCTATATTGAATACTCTTGTATGTATATTTTTGTACTATTGTATAATCTCTAGAATAGATTCCTAGAGATAGAATTATACGTTTAAAGCAGGCATCCTCAAACTATGGCATGCGGACCATATACGGGCGCCTAGCACATTTATCTGGCCCTCTGGGTGTTTTTGCTGCCGCTGCCTGTCCTGCTTAGCAGCCGACTCATCCCAGGCCCATGGTGCATACTCTCTAATGGTCTGAGGGACAGTGAACTGGCCCCCTGTTTAAAAAGTTTGAAGATCCCTGGTTTAAAGGATACTCATATTTTGAATTTTGAATAATTATTTCCTAGCTTTTCCCTCCCCTAAGAAAAAAAGTTTATATCAATTTACAATTCTGCTAACAGTATATGAGGACTCCTATTTCCCTACACTCTTCCCTACACCAGGTATCATCAACCTTTAAGTCTTTGCCAATCTGATGGATGAAAATGACGTCTCATCTTAATTTGAATTTCTTCCATTGTGAGTGAAGTTGAGAACTGTTTCATATATTTATTCAACTTTTGTATTTACTTTTCTGCTTATCTCGTTTTTTTCCATTGTTGGTTGTTTTGCTCATATTTTTGCTAACACATCTTTTTTTGCTTTGGTATATTTCTTCTCTAGGCTGCAACCAAATATAACCCCAGAGAACAGTATACATCTGGGCCACTGCTATTCTATGCCTAGAAAGTTTCTACCCTAGTGTTAGCTTCTTCATCTCTTATTCTTGCTCATATTTCTTTTGTGTGTGTGTGAGACAGAGTCTCACTCCGTTGCCCGGGCTAGAGTGCAGTGGTGTCATCATAGCTCACTGCAGCCTCAAATTCCTGGGCTCGGCCGGGCGCGGTGGCTCATGCCTGTAATCCTAGCACTCTGGGAGGCCAAGGTGGGTGGATCACTCAAGGTCAGGAGTTCAAAACCAGCCTGAGCAAGAGCGAGACCCCGTCTCTACTGAAAATAGAAACAAATTAATTGGCCAACTAAAATATATAGAAAAAATTAGCCGGGTGTGGTGGTACATGCCTGTAGTCCTAGCTACTCGGGAGGCTGAGGCAGAAGGATTGCTTAAACCCAGGAGTTTGAGGTTGCTATGAGCTAGGCTGATGCCACAGCACTCTAGCCTGGGCAACAAAGTAAGACTCTGTCTCAAAAAAAAAAAAATTCCTGGGCTCAAGTGATCCTCCTGCCGGAGCCCCCAGAGTAGTTAGGACTACAGGTGCACACCATCACACCTGGCTAATTTCTTATAGAAAAGTGGTCTTGCTATGTTGCTCAGGCAGGTCTTGAACTCCTGGCCTCAAGCACTTCAGCCTCAGCCTCCCAAAATGCTGGGATTATAGGCATGAGCCACTATGCCTGACCTGATCATATTTTTGTTGGTTTGTTTATTAGTAAAGATAATCATGTAAGTACATAGCAGATGTTGGCTATGTGCTAGATACTATGCTTAGCTCTTTATTTTTATTACCTAAGTGTCACAGCAACCCTATCAGGGTGTACTAGTTTATCTCCATCTATGTAATTTATATGTAGAGAAACTGAAGGATGGTGAGATTAAGTGATTTGCCCAAGGTCGCAAGGCTAGTAAATGGCAAAGCCGGATTTTGAGCCCAGGCACAGTGGCTCTATGGCCTGCCCTCCTCACCACTGAGCTCTTTTACCTCCAGTATGGGTAATGGGTTATGTTGCCCATTGTCTGTTTTCAAGAGACCTTTCTGCCCATATCCCCATTCAGAAAATTGACTACTACTGCTGAAACAAGGGCAAGGTATTCATGTATGGGTCCAGGAGTTTTTTCTTTACTTGTAAACTAGATTCCATTACATGGTTCAAAGTCAAAAAATATAAAAAGGCATTTGGTGAGAAATGTCATTCCCACTCTTATCTCATTCTATTTCCCCTGCCTTCTACTTTTATTAGTTTCTGTGTATACTTCCTGTATCTTAGTATACTTACAAGCAAAATAATGAAATACAGCAGGTCCTTTTGTTCAGTGTCATTTTGTTGTAACATTGATGAGAAAAAAAATCGATTCCCAGCCAGGGCCACTGTGTAGGGTCTGCATGTTCTCTGTATGTCTTTGTGGGTTTTCTCTGGGTTCTCTGGCTTCCTCCCACATCCCAAAGATGTATATGTTGGGTGAATTAGCATAAAAAAATTCTCTGAGTCTGAGTGAGTGTGGATGTGTGTGTTAGTGTATCCTGGGATGGGTCCTATCCAGGGCTGGCTCCCACCTTGAGCTCTGAGCTGCCTGGATGGGCTCTGGCCACCTGTGACCCTGAACTGGAATAAGTGGATAAACAGTGATCTTTCTTGTTTTTATTAATCTTCTTAAATGTATATATAGCTCACATTTACTTCAATGTCTAATATTAGAAGTGTTAGAAGTTCAACATTTAGAAGTTTAGTGATGTGTTTGTGACCAGAAATATACCATAGTATCTTAACTCGTGTATGTGTCAATTAGTCTATGGTAAAACTAGTTTCCTTGTATGTCATTTCACTTAAAGTTGCAGTTTCCAAGAACCTGTTGACACTGTTGAAGACTTATTGTATATACGTATGTATATATAATGTTCCCCCTTTCTTACACATAAAGTACCATACTGTATACACTTTTTTACACTTTATTTTACACTTTATTTTCTTTTCTTCACTCGATTTATCCAAAGGCTAAGACCATTTCATTTATCAAATATTTATTGAGCGCCTCCTTATACAAGGCACTATGCTGGCTTTAGAGGAGTATACAAAAAGCATTAAACAGAAATCTCTGGCCCCAGGGAGTTTACAGTCCAGTTCTGGAACAAGAGCCTCAGTGAACGTAAAGTGTGGTATTTATATGACATGCTGCTTTCTTGCCAGATTCAGGCCTCAATGTAAAGCACACTCAGCCTGCTGAAGGTAGAAAATATACATCTTTGTCTTTGGGGACCAAGGCAAGATCTACTGAATTATGTCTCTAGAATGTAAGAACTATATCTTATTCATCTTAATATCTTTTCCAGGACTTTATGGTTTAAACAAATGACTCTGTACTTGTTTTAAATATAAACTTCAAGGAAACTTTTATATCTTTTTCGTGAACACAAAGGGAAGATTTTTAGAACCATTTTGATTGTAGAATTCATCCCTCCCTGAGGAGCCTTGTCAACTAGGATTGAAATGAAATTTTCATGTACCTAATATAGACCTGAAGGAGGAGAGCTTATCTAAAGAGGGTTTGTTTTGGTGAGAGTCATTTCCTTTTTCCCTTACTGAGGTTTCCTCCTCCATTTACTCCTACTCCGTGGGCACAAAGTAGAGAAGAATTAGTTTATCCCAACTAGAGTATAGTATTTTAGAGCTTTGGGAAAGCTACCCTCAATTTAAAAGAGATCTTTGTTCAGAACCTCTCCAATAGTTCCACACATGCCAGGAGCCATGAGGAAGCAGTATGGTGTAATGGTTAAAAGATGCTCTGGAGCTGGCCTGCTAGCATTGACATTTTGAGTCTGCCACTTTCCTCCTGTGACAAGTTACTGGACTTCTGTTTGTTTTTACGGTCTCTAAGTAGAGATTATAAATGTTAAAGGTCTATGACTTGATTCAGTTTATTCTTCACACTGAGCTTTATAGCCAAGGACAAGAACTGAAAGAGAAAATCTAGCATTTTATATTTATCTAAGCACTTTTCATAAATGATCGTAATGTATACTATACACGTGTAATATGTACATATTACATGTATATAATACATGTGCTAAGTGTTTCCACGCTAACTATGATGCAAAGGAATGTTCCTTCTTGAATGTAGATAAATTCTAACGGAAAAAAAGTCAAAGTTAAAGGTCACATAAAGGCTAGAAGTAGTAATTGAACATGGTTTTTCTCTTAGCCTCCTTCCCAGGGCTGCCAAAATATTTTTCAAAGAATGTTTTGTGACGGAGGCCCTTTCCTTAGAAAGCCTGTCACATTACAAAAAGAAAAGGATCTCTTTCTTTGGAGGTACATTTTGGGGCACAGGAAAGGCTCTTATTTTTTTTCTAGCCATCCTTTTTGTTGTAGAAGTCTGGTGCTTGCTGCCACATACCTGGTTTGGGAGAAGAGAAAGACTTGGGCTCTTTACAGGCCTAGATATGGAAAGGAACCATGGCCTGGCTGAGTGTGCCTGCTCTCCCTCCCCTACACCTCTAGAAACTCTTCATGTGAGAGCTGCAGGATAAGGGAAGAGTTGCACTGCTTCAGGGTCCTACAGAGATTTGGACATTTTTTTTCTTTTTTGAGACACAGTCTCATTCTGTTGCTCGGACTAGAGTGCTGTGGCGTCAGCCTAGCTCACAGCAACCTTAAACTCCTGGGCTCAGGCAATCCTCCTGCCTCAGCCTCCTGAGTAGCTGGGACTACAGGCATGCGTCACCATGCCTGGCTAATTTTTTTCTATATATTTTTAGTTGGCCAATTAATTTCTTTCTATTTTGAGTAGAGGCTGGGTCTCACTTTTGCTCAGGCTGGTTTTGAACTTCTGACCTTGAGCAATCCTCCTGCCTCGGCCTCCCAGAGTTCTAGGATTACAGGCATAAGCCACCACGCCTGGCCAAAGATTTGAACATTGTCTTTGTATCATAGTCATTTTGATCTGTTCCCTCAGGCTTTTTATTGAGAAACTGCCAAAGCATCGAGATTACAAATCTGCTGTCATTCCTGAAAAGAAAGACACGGTAAAGGTGGGTCTTCACTTTCATTGTTTGCCCATCTAAAAGCTTCAAAGCATCATAGTCTTACTTCAAGATAATAGTATTAGTCTCTGCATCTGAGCATCAAATCCTGCAGTAGGAGATAAGGCCATTTTACTAGAAGAGTTATGAGGTTGCACATATGCTACAGTAGGGAGTATTTTATTTTATTTTATTTATTTATTTATTTTTTTGAGACAGAGTCTCACTCTGTTGCCCGGGCTAGAGTGCCATGGCATCTGCCTAGCTCACAGCAACCTCAAACTTCTGGGCTCAGGTGATCCTTTCTGCCTTAGCCTCCCGAGAAGCTGGGACTACAGGCATGTGCCACCATGTCCAGCTGATTTTTTCTATATGTATTAGTTGGGCAATTAATTTCTTTCTATTTTTAATAGAGATGGGGTCTCACTCTTGCTCAGGCTGATTTCAAACTCCTGACCTTGAGCGATCCTCCCACCTCAGCCTCCCAGAGTGCTAGGATTATAGGTGTGAGCCACCACGCCCAACCAATAGGGGGTATTTTATATCATTTTGGGAAACATTGTTGCCATTGCCAATTTGACTTAAGTCTTCTTTTCTCTTCTTACTTAGCTGACATTGTTTCTAATTCTGTTTTCTGGTTTTTATTTCAGAAATTAAAGGAAATTGCATTTCCCAAGGCAGAAGAACTGAAGGCAGAACTATTAAAACGATACACCAAAGAATATACAGAATATAATGAAGAAAAGGTCAGTAAATAACAGCAAAGAAAAAGAAAAAATTATTTTGGTTTCTTTGGCTGTGCTCTGGGATTATAACATGATATTTTAACAGTCCTGCAATTTTATGCAAAGGCCAGAAACTCAAATGAGTAGAACACCAGTGCTTAGGCTCAGGCTTCTAACACAGATTTAGCTTACTTGTTCAAGAGGGTCAGTTGGGAGACAGAAAATCTATTGCCTGTCTGCTCTATCTAGAGTAAGAGCCTTAAGAACAATGAAAATTGTAACCAAAACATACATTTTTCCATCAGAGAATTTGAGGATTTGATTCACATTTGGTGATACCTGAAGCTGTTTATAATAATCGATTTTTCAAGCCATTTTCTAATGATTCTTGTTAGGAAGAGTCACGTAAAACATGCAGAGAAGGCCCCAGGGAACTGCCAGTGGCCAGATGTGAATACACACTGCAGCTGTCTGCTGTGCAGCTGTCTGCTGTGCCCTATTCTGGACTGTGATGTTGAATATCAGCAGAGGGGTGAATAGCTATGAAGAGTATATTTCTATGGCACCGAGTGAGTGAAAAGTTTAATGTAGGAGGTTATTAATTAATATTTCTTAGTAGTTTAAAATGTCACTGCATATTGAATTGATTACCAGAAAAATTTCAGAGGCTTCATTTTGGGTTAAAATTCAGTAGAAGGCTAAAGTGGGAGCATCGCTTGAGGTCAGGAGTTTGAGACCAGCCTAAGCAACATAGTGAGGCCTTGTCTCTAAAAAGTAAAAAATAAATTAGTTGGACATGGTGGCACACACCTATAGGCCCAATTACTTGAGAGGCTGACATGGAGGATGCCTTAGGCCCAAGAATTCGAGGCTACAGCAAGCTGTCATTGTGCCACTGCACTCTTGCCTGGGCGACAACGAGACTCCATCACTGGGGAAAAAAAAATTCATTAGAGACCCTTAGCGTATCAGGTATAAGTTTAGATTTGGTTCTATTTTACAGCCTTACTTTCGATACAGAATATAGACATGGAACAATTAGAGAATAAAAACTGTATGTGGTGTAGCTTATGGAGAACAGACAGTAAGTTGCTTCAGGATTTCAGTAAAGAAGAAATGCACTGACTGGAGTCATCAAGGGGACAGGTACTAAGAGGATTGGGACTTTAATTGTCCTTGAAGGTGGGTATACAGATAGGAAGGGGTGTGTGTGACTGTATTCCATGAATATAAAGTACAAGGGAAGTATGAATTTTGAGTTAGGAAATCAGGCCAGAGCAGAAGTACATTTTGGAAATCTCCCTGCTAAAAAGCCTTGTTCTCCTGAGGTGTGAAGGCATCTGAGGGGTGATGTAGAGGCCTAAATCTTTTTCTTTATTTGTAGAAGAAGGAAGCGGAGGAATTTGCCCGTAACATGGCCATCCAGCAGGAGCTAGAAAAGGAAAGACAGAGGATAGCACAGCAGAAGCAGCAGCAATTGGAACAGGAACAGTTCCATGCCTTTGAGGAGATGATTCGGAACCAGGAGCTAGAAAAAGAGCGACTGAAAATTGTACAGGAGTTTGGGAAGGTGGACCCTGGCCGAGGAGGCCCACTGGTGCCTGACTTGGAAAAGCCCTCCTTAGATGTGTTCCCCACCTCACCTGTCTCATCCACACAGCCTTTAGACTGTAACACAACTGTAAGGCCAGCTAAGCCACCAGTGGTGGATAGGTCCCTGAAACCTGGAGCACTGAGCAACTCAGAGAGTGGTGAGTACACGTGCTGATCCTGTTCCATCTCAGTTGCCACCACACAGAGCATCGTTCTGGGGGAGCCAGCCCGAGAGTACCTCCGTCATATGATTAATAGGCTTTAGTCACAGAAACCCATTTGATAAGTGTTGCTGTATTGTGTCGTGTCACACTGCCTGTATTATAAAAGTGGCCTTTGCTTGAATGATATAATTTACCTGAGGCCGGGTCAATTTTTTGAAAAGTTACAACTGTCCTTCAAAGTTAGACTCTCAACTTTTAAGTGTTATGCAGAGATTTGAGGGAGAGCGCCAAATCCTAACCACTAGACAACAAGGGAACTTCAGATATTGGAAAAGTTAAGTGAATTAGAGACCACTGAGCCTTTTGTAAAAATAAATTTGAAATGTATAAAACCACTGTGCAATTCAACAGCTGACTTTCAAAAAATAAAAAAAGGGCTACTGAATTGTGCTTGCCCTGAAAGCCTTCCTAATCTTTAAGGAGCTTAGTCAAGGTAAACATTGTATATATTTGGTGAGAACTCAGTCTGGCCTGAAAACTATTAACAGTCTTTCCTCCTCTCACCAACAATTTGCAATCTCAGAAAATAACACTAGGGGCAAAATGATGAGTAACCTTGATCATTAGAACAAATTTTGGAGGGTAGAAGTTAACATTCAAGTAGTTATTAACAGGAAGTCAGCTTTGCAGAAGGATCCACTTAAAAGCTCAATGTAAGGCCAGGCACAGTGGCTCACACCTGTAATCCTAGCACTTTGGGAGGCTGAGGCCAGGAAATTGCTTGAAGCCAGGAGTTCAAGACCAGCCTGAGCAAGAGCAAGACCATGTCTGTACAAAAAATAGAAAAATTAGGTAGGTATGGTGGCGAGCTCCAATAGTCTCAACTACTTGGAAAGCTGAAGCAAGAGGATGGCTTGAGTCCAGCAGTTGGAGGTTATAGTGAGCTATGATCACAACCCTGCACTCTACCCAGGAGGACAGAGCAAGACTTTGTCTCAAAAAAAAAAAAAAAGTAAAAATGCGTAAGTAGGGCTGAACTCTGAAGCCTGACCTTTAGAGCTTCTGCACATTTACTTGGTGGGCTATCTCCCACTGTTCATTCATACAGAGTCTATACTCCGTGAAATTGGACTATAATGTTCTCAGAACATGGCTAGACTATCTTACTCAAAGAGATTTATTAACATTTCCCTTCTACCTAGATTCCCCTTTCTCTGTTTCCTGCTTTCCCTGTTTTTTTTCTTTGAAGTTTTTCCAGATTTCCCTCCCTTCAATCAGACTGATTCTGTTCTCCTTAAAACTCTTAGAGTTCTTTCAGTCTCTGATGCAATTTAGATTATTCACCTGATAGTGTCAGTCGTTTGTCAATAATTAGATTTTAACTTCTTGTAGGTTGGGGCTTGAATCTTATTCATGTTTGTGTTCCATGTGGGCTGAGCACAGTGTCTACTTGGTATGCACTTGGGAAGTCATTGAACTGAAAGGAAAGGGCTGTGCCAAACCTAATCATAATCCTTAGATACCATCATCAGACTGCCAGGTGACTGTGGTATGACTTTCTTGCCTCTTCAGCTATTCAGATTTTGCTGCTGAATGTGCAGAAGGAGAATTATCTTTTTTTACTTTTTTTTTTTTAACATGAAAATCTGGCTGTGAAAGATGCTTCCTAACTTTAGCTTGCTGGCTCTCTCACAGGGTTTCTCCATGGTGTTCAGGAACTGGGTCCATTCTTGGCATCCTGAGGCAGGTTTTATGAGCTGCTTCATTCATGCCTTTTTGGGGGGGACGAGACTATATTTTGGTTATTTTGTTCTGGTTTGGCATTTTAACTTTCTTCTAAAAGATGAAGTTCAGAAATAAATACCCAAATTCTTTTCTGTTATAAAGAATATATCCTGGTGTATTTCTTTGAAAGTCATACTCTCTGATATTCTTATCTGAAATAAAAGAGAGGCTGGGCGCTGTGGCTCACACTTGTAATCCTGGCAGTCTGGGAAGCCGAGTCAGGCAGATCGTTTGAGCTCAAGTGTTCAAGACCAGCCTCAGCAAGAGCGAGACCCCGTCTCTACTTAAAAAATAGAAAGAAATTAGTTGAACAACTGAAATATATAGAAAAAATTAGCCGGGCATGGTGGCACATGCCTCTAGTCCCAGCTATCTGGGAGGCTGAGGCAGGAGGATGGCTTGAGCCCAGGCACTCTAGCCCAGGCAACAGAGTGAGACTTTGTCTCAAGAAAAAGAAAGAATGAAATAAAAGAGAGATTTAAAATTAAAATAAAAGTTCAGATGAATGGCGGTGTCTTAATCCACTTGTGCTGCTATATCAAAATACTTAAGTAATTTATAATGAACAGAAATTTATTTGACTTATGGTTCAAGAGACTGGGAAATCCAAGATGGGGGGGTCCCTGTGGTGAGGGCCTTCTTGCTGTGTCATCCTGTGGTAGAAGGGCAGATGGGCCAAAACCAGAGCCCTCCTGAGCTAATCACCTCTTACAGGTTCTGCCTGTCAACACTTTCACACTAGGGATTAATTTTCCAACACATGAACCTTGGTGACACATTCAAACCACAGCAGAGAACTAATCTTTTTAACCCTTTATATTAGTTTCCAACAGAAAATTCCCAACTATCTCAGGAACTTTGTTAAAGTTGTACGTACCTTACCCTTTTCTTAATTTGAATGACTAAAGCCTACTCTTCTTTTCTTGAAGTAATGTGCTCCCAAGAGCAGTGGCCAGAAATTGGAGTAGAGACTTTACAACCCTCTTTTGGGTGCCGTTAGAATGAGATCCCCATCTATTGCCTGAAGTTGGGGGGATCCCAGCGAGTTAGCGTGGCTCTCCCAGAGCTGCCAGCTGTGAGGTCTGCTTGGAGGAGCTCAGTCCAGTGGTCTCAGACTTTCCCCCTTTCTCCATTACAGTTCCTACCATCGATGGATTGCGCCACGTGGTGGTGCCCGGCAGGCTGTGCCCACAGTTTCTGCAGTTAGCCAGCGCCAACACTGCCCGGGGAGTGGAGACATGTGGAATTCTCTGTGGAAAACTGGTAAAGAAAACAAAGTCTTTCCTGAGCTGAGACTGTTTTTTCTCCCATGGCCTCCCATGACTCTCAGAGAAGATATCCAGGGTCAGGTAGTTTTGTGCTGACCCTCTGCTGAAGGAACCATGGACTGCATAACGTAGTGTCACTTTGAATTGGGTGACCGTGTATTTGATTTTTAGAATCCCTTGAATTGAACTTATTATGTTAATGGTAGTACTAAGAAATACCTAATTTTAAATTTAGCAGGAAGATCCATTCATTATCTGTATATCATTTTTGGAGTACCTACTTTATGGTAGGACCTGGGATTATGAAATATCTAAAGCACATAGTAAATGTCCACGAAAAGTGCCAGTCACTTTGCAAAGATGGGAGAGGCACACCAAAAGATAAATAGCATGCCGAATAGCACGTATGATATGAGCACTGGAAATTTTGAGGAAGGAAAGATCACCGAATGGAGGCACTTAAAAACCCATTACTAATTGCTGAATGAATAAATGAAGGAAGTGGAATAGACTTAATCTGAACCTTAAAGGATGAAAAGGACTTAAGGAAACAGTGAAAAGGAAACTACTTTAGACACAAACAAAGGAAGAGAAATGGTACTCTATCCGGACCTCCTCAACAATCATGTGTAGACCTGTTTGGCTGTACCGAGAAATTCCCAGAGGGATGTGGTATTTGCCCAAGCTGCAGAGTTCTGGGGTTGGTCTTTGGCATCTGTCCCTTTACAAAGCATCTCGGGCAATGTGCACAAGCAGCCAAGATTGTGAACCTCTGAGGTGAGGGACTGCTGCTGGGTGGGAGGGGCCTTCAGTTGTACAGATGTTTAACTTTCCACTGTTAGGACAGTGCAGGGCTGCATGAGTGCCAGGGAATTGTGACAAGCTCTTTTCTCCTTTGGCAGATGAGGAATGAATTTACCATTACTCATGTTCTCATCCCCAAGCAAAGTGCTGGATCTGATTACTGTAACACAGAGAATGAAGAAGAACTTTTCCTCATACAGGATCAGCAGGGTCTCATCACACTAGGATGGATTCATGTAAGAAATTCTGGGCTTTCTGAGGGTTAGTCTCCTTTTCTTTCATTGTGTTGTAAACACTACTCATTTCTTGCTTTCTTCCTTTTTTCCTTTCTTTCCTCCCTTCCCTTCCCTTCCTTACCTTTCTTTTCTTTTCTTTCTTTTCTTGTTTAGTTATTTAAAGATGAAGTCTAGCTCTGTTGCGTAGGCTGGAGTGCAATAACACAGTCACAGCTCACTGCAACCTTGAATTCCTGGGTGCAAGCAGTCCTCCTTCCTCAGCCTCCTAAGTAGCTGAGACTATAGGTACACACCACCACATCCAGCTAATTTTTTTAAATATTATTTTGTAGAGACAGGGTCTCACTGTGTGGCTCAGGCTGGTCTCAAACCCCTGGCCTCAAGCAGTCCTCCTGCCCCAGCCTCCCAGAATGCTAGGATTATAGGCATGAGCCACCACGCCCAGCATGATTATGCTTTTTAGTATGTGGAGAATTCTTAAAGGTTTTTGAGCAAAGCAATGATGTGATCAAAACCATACTTAAGAAAATTTAATATAAATGCAGTTTTAAGGTAGATTGTGGCAGGGAGAGTTTGCTCATAAAGTTTAATGATCTGCTCGGGTGATGTCATTGTTTTTGGGAAGGAAGAGATGAATATATGATTTCAGAGAATTTGGTTAATGAGTAATAAAGGATAATGAGTAACAATAAATGATGACTCAGAGATTTGGGGCCTGACAGTGATCATCTCATAAGCAGAAGTAGGGGATCCAGGAAGAGGACTTCCTTTGGAAGTGGGGTTCAGTTCTGAGTATGTTAAATTTCAGGTTCTGGTGAGACATCAAACTGAGGTAGTTATCAGCGAGTTGGAAATGTGAAGCTAGAACTTAGGAGCAGAGCAAAGCAGGAGATAGGGATCTGGAAGTTTCTATGTAGAGCTGACCTTGGAAACCTTGGAAGTGGGATGGGTGTTGAGAGCAGGAAGAGACTCATTGGCAACTTGGGGAACAGGCTACCTAGGGGAACATAGAAAGTAATCAATAATGAAGCAAAACTTGTATGAAAAAGGTGAGAGTAGTGTTAAGGCACAGAAGCCACCAGAAGGGAACACTTTAAGAAGAAATTCTAGGGTGTGAATGATGCTTTAGAGAGCTCCAGAATGATCAGGACTTGGATCAGCCTGTTGGATGTGATGAGGTCATTGAGGATCTTGAGTTAGTGGGTTTTAGGCAGTGGTGGAGGTAGATTGTAAGGGTTTTAGAAGTCATGAAGGCTAGGTGCAGAGGCTCATGCCTATAATCCTAGCAGTATGGGAGTCCAAGGCAAGAAGATCATTTGAGCTCAGGAGTTCAAGGCCAGGGAGCAAGAGCAAGATCCCATCTTTAGTAAAAAGAGAAAAATTAGGCAGGGCGCAGTGGCTCACGCCTGTAATCCTAGCACTCTGGGCGGCCAAAGTGGGCAGATTGCTCAAGGTCAGAAGTTCAAAACCAGCCTGAGCAAGAGCGAGACCCCATCTCTACTATAAATAGAAAGAAATTAATTGGGCAACTAATATATATAGAAAAAATTAGCTGGGCATGGTGGTGCATGCCTGTAGTCCCAGCTACTCGGATGCTGAGGCAGTAGGATCACTTGAGCCCAGGAGTTTGAGGTTGCTGTGAGCTAGGCTGATGCCACGGCACTCACTCTAGCCTGGGCAACAAAGTGAGACTCTGTCTCAAAAAAAGAAAACATTAGAAAAATTAGCTGGGCATGATGATGCTTGCCTATAGTCCCAGCTACCTGGGAGGTTGAGCCAAGAGGATCACTTGAGCCCAGGAGTTTGTGGTTGCAGTGAGCTACTGTGACACCACTGCACTCTTCTGGGGGGACGGAGTGAGACTCTGTCTCAAAAAAAAAAAGAAGTCATGGGGATTGAAGTTGTGGCAATAACGGCATGTACACTACCATTCTGAGGAGCTTAGCTCTAGAGGAAAGGAGAGAGACGGTGGTGGCCTAAGGAGTAGCTGGGTTGAGAGAATGGTTGCAGTTGTTTAGTGTGAAAAAGCTTCAATATGTGTTTTGGTTTGATTTTGGTTTTTCAAAAGCTTTATATTTTGAAATATAACACATACATAAGAGAGCACATTCCTCCAGAGTCTGTTACCTTCTCTTGAAGAAAAAGAAAAAATAAATTAAAAAAAAAATTAAAATAAATAAATAAATAAAATAAGAGAGCACAGAAACTACATGTACACTTTAACAAATCTAAGCAAACATCTGTGTGCACACACCACCAAAGTCAGGAAATAGAACACTGCCAGAAGTACACTCCCAACCCTAGTCACATGTCCTCCCTCATACAGGTAATCCCTCCTCTGACTTTTCTGGTCTTCTCTTCATTGCTTTCTTCTACTTTTGCCATCTAAATGTGTATCCCAAAAGGCTATAGTTTACTTTTGCCTGATTTTGACCTTTTTGTAAATGGAATTATACAATATGTATATGGGTGTCTTGCTTCTGTTGCTTAACATTTTGAAGGTTTATCCACATTCTTATGTGTAGTTATCTGTATGTGTTTTTACCAGTGGAGGAGATGTAAATGGGTGGGAGAAACAAAGTAATGTGGTGGTAGGGAAATACTGAATCAAAAGTATAAAACAGAAATTCATCTTCATATGGGGAGGAAAACACTCATTCCTCTGAGACAGGATTAAAGGAAGAGAGGTGAAAATACAGAGAGTTTTGAAATGATATTTGGAGGGATTGAGGGAACTCAGACCATCTTGATTTCAGTAAAGTTGGAGTCTAGGTTTGCTGTCAAACAAGAGGGAGACAAGGGTGGATTTAGAAACTGGAGGAGATGGGAGAAAGTATGAAATAATTACTGTTTAGACTTCAGATAGAACTTAGCCATGGAAGAATAAAAGGATTTCTAAATATTGGTGATGACCCAGCTAGGAACAAATTTAAAGCCTCAGTTAATAGTAGTTTAGCCTTTTTCCCCCCATGATATTTCTGTACCATTCCTTCCTAATTTGGGATTACAAACAAATAAATAAAAAGCAGACTATAAGGTTTGTTTAAATCTGAAAATTGGCAAGAGGAGAATGTAAAAGATCAGTTCTTCCTCCTGCACTTTGCCAACTGTAAATCAGGTTCCCTGGTCAAAAACTTAGATGGTCATGGATTAGTCACCAACTGTTGTTGAACCCCCAACCCAGTATTCCAGGCACTCCTCATCTTGTCTCAGCCCCATCTTAGCCCTCATCATCTTCTCTTGTGGCCATTCTGCTCCTGCCCAGGTGCCCAGGCAGCCTTCAGCATTTACTCTCCTTGCTCTGCTCCTTTGTCCTATTGTTTTCTCTTCAGTGACATGCCTTCCTCTATCCCAGCAGGGTGGACACAGTGAACATAACTATCCAAGAAACCTGACTGTGAAAGGAAGGTCTTTTGATTCAGTTTAACAGTTGCTTATTGTACCCCTGCTGTGTGTCTCTTTATTATCTTTCTGGCTACCCAACTGTATTTTGTTTTCGTTTTTGTTTGTTTTTGAGACAAAGTCTTACACCATTGCCCTGGGTAGAATGCTATGGCATCAGCGTAGCTCATAGCAACCTCAAACTCCTAGGCTCAAGTGATCCTCCTGCCTCAGCCTCCTGAGTAGATGGGACTACAGGCATGCACCACAATCCCTAGCTAATTTTTCTGTTTTTCAGTAGACAGTCTCGCTCTTTCTCAGGCTGGTCTCCAACTTCTGAGCTCAAGTCATCCTCCCACCTTGGCCTCCCTGAATGCTGGGATTATAAGAGTAAGCCACTGTGCCTGGCCTCTCAACTTTAGATTGTAGGTCTGGATTGGCTTTTGTGGGTCTCGTTGGCTCCTGGTTAGAATCCTGTGTTCTCACCCTGGGATGAGAGATGTTGGCACAGGCCATTGCTTTGTAGCAGTCTAAAGGATTATATTATGATCTAGTAGAAACTGTTTTTCCCTACTGGTCCCTGAAGTTCTTAGAAGCCCCATGAGGACTCGTGTATGGATTTGCTTCCACCACTCAGCTAACAATTTCCTGCCCTGAAGACTTCATCCACAGTGAGCTTATCACGGCATTCTGTGGAGGGTGCTTCTCAGACAAGGCTGCCCAGAAGAATAGTTTAGTGAGCTTTAAAGAAAAATGTTCCCTTTCATGGGATATTTCCAGGGGTGGAGCACAGGAGTCTGGGCTTTTGACAAGCTTCTCAGGAGATTTGTGTTTTTGGACAGCAGATTTGAAAACACTGGACAATTGCACTTGTTTTTTTATCTTTTTCTGTTAGTGGAAGTCAGTGGTCTTTTTAAGTCACATTGGATTTTTCTATTTCCATTCTTGTTACCTAAGAACACATCCCTCTAAGATGAACATAAATCATCTTAGTTCATCTAGTTGTTTTGTATACCAAAAAAATGTGCTTAATAAAACAAATAATTAGAAACAAATGAAATGAACAGAATGCACATTTAGATAGTGCTTTAACTAATTACCCTCAAATTTCAACATCTTTTTCTACTTCTAAATAAGACAGACTCCTTTGCATGACTTAACTGGAATCCAGGTAGTCCCCTACCTCTCATATCTTCCTTGGATGATGCTTTAACTGTAGAACATCTTTTGCCTATGAAGCCCCAAATTCATGCTTGACCTTTTAACACCTCTGTCAGGAAGAATCATTCATCTAATTGTGGATTACATAGTCCTTGACTTCTTCTGTGTTGAAATATTGGGCAGCATGTGCCATCTGTTCCAGAATGGGTGACTCTCTATGATGTGGAGAGAGCTCGTGAGGAGCCAAATAAGCATTGATGGTCAATTAGAAATTATGAGTCACTTGAACAACCAAAGCCTGAATTATCCAGAGACATAATCATACTCCTTCAAGAAGATGAAAAGGAGACATTCCTGAGGGGAAGTTCCGAAGGCCACTCTCATGCCAGTCACAATTGTAAAGGGCACCCACCTACCTTGTCCATGGAGTCCCATCTTGATAACCCCACTAACATCTTTGATTGTATGGATCCCAGGGTGAACCCAACATCGTAGTCCTTGAGTCCTTCCAATTTGGTTCAAGAACTGGAGAGCCAGAGCAGGAAACATCAGCAGTCTCCTCTCCTGTTTCCAAGTCTGATAGGCACTGTCTCGGCTCCTACTATACCTGTGATCTCTGTGCTGCAGATAGCCGACCACCCCACTCCCCTGACACCCACAACACTGTTCTCCCCTCTTGTCTCCAGCCAGAAAGAGGCAGGTACATGCACTTGTCTTCTCAACTGTGATGACTGGGACATGTTTCTCCCTGACTGCAACACTGAGACACAGTTGTGCTCTCCTGGTCTTCACACCCTGGGCTCCCACAGCACCAGTCTGCCCACCTGCAATTTCCACAGTGGGGGGTCTCCTCTCCCATCTCCATATGCCCAGTGCCTGAGACTATGAAGCTTTTCTCCTATCTCCAGGCCTGAGATTCAACTCCTCACCCATCTCACCTGCTAAGCCCCAAGGCTGATCTCTCATGTCTCCATGCACACACATTGACAACACCAGTCTCCTCATGTGACTACACTATCCACACCTGCTAAGCCCCCAGTACCTGTTTCCAAGTCTGATATGCACTGTCTGAACATCCACTGTGCACCTGATTCGTGTTCCCCCTGCCAGTCCCCATAGCCCACAAGGCCCACCATGCTGATCTCCTGGCCCACACACACCAACGACAGAGAAACTTTTTCTTGACAACTAGAACCTGGATTTTGATTTCATTTTGAGAGGTCAAAACTTGTTTAATTGGAATGTGGCAGAATGTTGAATTCTTCTGCCTTGTCTGTTCAGTCTCAGAAGCTAATTTTTCTCCTACCCTGCAGTAGTCTTCAAGCTTCAACACTGGATCAGTATCTTTCCCCCATGATGCTCCAGATGGAAGGTTTGAGCTCTGCCCTCAAGCCCTCTCCATACCCCACTAGTTTAGTGGCCCAATGCCTTAAACCTCCCCTTCCCCAAGCTCTGCAGCCTACAGCACTTCATCCAACAAGAATTCCAGAACCCATCAGGCACACTACACTTCATGAACCAGTGGGATCAGAGTTCACATTTTAGTTAGTACAGATTGAAAGATATTCCCCCTTCTGTTCACTCCCCTCCTTTTATCTGCCTGTTCCCCCACCAGTAAGTGTTCAGGCTGCCTAATATCTTCCACTGCCTTCAAACAGGGGAAGCCAGAAGGTGTTTCAACAGAGCCTTACCCTTTGAGACTGCTCTCCCTGACAAGATCATCTGAGTGAATTGAATGTGCTAGGTTATTTCATATGTCGTCTATAACCATGAGCTAGGATGGTACGCTCTGGTCTGGACTTAATGCTGTGTTGCTTTCTGTTAGACAGAAATCACCCTATCCAATGGAATCCCAGAATTATGGTTCTGCACAATGTACATTAGGGCATCCCTAATACATCCAACTACCCAGGAACTGAAGCGGGGGTGGTCTCCTTCACCCTGCTTGTGACATCTCCCCACCACTGCTCTCCAGAGAAGTCCCCTCCTAATTAGCTGCCATTCTGCTGGGGCCGGTTTAATCTAAGTTATTTTAATTTTTAGTCACTTTTGTCCCCTTCCTCTCATTGTATCCCTCACTATAGAGAACTCTCCAATTTCCAAAAATTATTTGTTCTTCTTATTTCTATGAGCTCTTTTATTTGTTTTATTTATTGATTTATTGATTGATTGATTGATTGAGACAAAGTCTCGCTTTGTTGCCCAGGCTAGAGTGAGTGCCGTGGCATCAGCCTAGCTCACAGCAACCTCAAACTCCTGGGCTCAAGCAATCCCGCCTCAGACTCCCGAGTAGCTGGGACTATAGGCATGTGCCACCATGCCCGGCTAATTTTTTGTATATATTTTTCGTTGGCCAATTAATTTCTTTCCATTTATAGTAGAGACGAGGTCTTGCTCTTGCTCAGGCTAGTTTCAAACTCCTGAACTCGAGCAATCTGCCTGCCTCGGCCTCCCAGAGTGCTAGGATTACAGGCGTGAGCCACCTCGCCCAGCCTCTTTTATTTGTTTTATTCCTGTTTTCCAAGACTATAATGGGAGTAGGTATTTTTTCCTTTTTTTTAATTGACAAAAATTGTATGGTGTATAGCATGATGTTTTGAAATATGTATGCACTGTGGAATGGCTAACTCAAGCTAATAAATGCATTACCTCACATACTTCTTTCCTGGTGAGAACACTTAAAATCTACTTTCTTAAGACATTTTCAAGTATATAATACATTATTATGAATTACAGTCACCATGTTGTACAGTAAATCTCTTGAACTTAAAATATAGAAATAAATAAATTATGAGTCTCTTCACATAATTATGTGAAGCCGTACAATGCTGGAAAGGAACTTTCATATCATGAACTTCAGGTGTACCCCCTCATGGTTGCAAATGGCTTTGTATTTGAAAAGGAAATTGTGGCCAACTGTGGAGAACTATTTTGGCTTTACCTTCCTTCATCCACCGGGCTTGGTTGTATAGTAGCCTCCCCTTATCTTCAGGGGATACCTTCCCAGAACCCCAGTGGGTTCCTGAAACCAAGGATAACACCAAACTCTACATATACTATGTTTTTTCCTATACATACATCCTACGCTAAAATGTAATTTATAAATTAGGCACAGTAAAAGATTCATAATCACTACTAATAAAATAGGACAGGCCGGGCGCGGTGGCTCAAGCCTGTAATCCTAGCACTCTGGGAGGCCGAGGCGGGCGGATTGCTAGAGGTCAGGAGTTCGAAACCAGCCTGAGCAAGAGCAAGACCCCGTCTCTACTATAAATAGAAAGAAATTAATTGGCCAACTAATATATATATGTAAAATTAGCCGGGCATGGTGGCGCATGCCTGTAGTCCCAGCTACTCGGGAGGCTGAGGCAGAAGGATTGCTTGAGCCCAGGAGTTTGAGGTTGCTGTGAGCTAGGCTGACGCCAGGGCACTCACTCTAGCCTGGGCAACAAGCGAGACTCTGTCTCAAAAAAAAAAAAAAAAAATAGGACAATTATAACAATATACTATAATAAAAATTAGGTGAATGTCATCTCTCTCTTTCTCTCTCAGAATGTCTTACTTGTATATAGTATTTTCAGATTGTGGTTGACATGGCTAATTGAAACCTCGGACAGGGAAATGGCAGGTAAGGGTTGTACAACTGTGTATCCTCACTGAGAGTTCTGACTTTTTTTTCCTCTTCTCAGACTCATCCCACACAGACCGCCTTCCTCTCCAGTGTTGACCTGCACACGCACTGCTCCTACCAGTTGATGCTGCCAGAGTCAATAGCCATTGTTTGCTCCCCCAAGTTCCAGGAGTGAGTATATGGGACTTGGTTCTGGGTGTTACAGGGAGGTAGTAGGAAGAACAACTTGGAGGAAAAGGTCTCTCTTCTTGAGACCTTGTTCTTTATAAAATATATAGATTGTAATGTCAATTAGTTGCTTCCTTTTAAGCCCCATATTCTGATAAATCTATCATACTTGTTTAAAAAGATATCCAAGCAACCACTTAGTTGCTTTTCTAAGAACTGTCCACAAGAAATTTAAGTGTTTGGCTTGAAGCAATAGGAATTTTAAGAGTTTGATGTTGGATTAGAAAATTTCACAATCAAACAGATTATCTCAGAATGTTACTTTTTCATTTCAAATCCTCTATTCGGAATTCACCCAGCAAAACTAGTGTGGTGGCAGTGATGAATCATTCTCTACCTATGATTCATTCACCAGAGAAGGGACCTGTGAGCCAGCATCCTACAGAATCTAAGAATGACCTCTGCCTTGCTTTGTGACTGTGCATGCCTCTGTGTTGTATGCATGTGCATGTTGGAGGCTTTGCTTGACTCTGAGCATACTTTTTCTTATTTCAGAACTGGATTCTTTAAACTAACTGAACATGGACTAGAGGAGATATCTTCCTGTCGCCAGAAAGGATTTCACCCACACAGCAAGGATCCACCTCTTTTCTGTGTATGTATCTATGTAGAAGAAATTGGAGCTGAGCTTAAGCAGGAATGACAGGGCTCATGAGGTGCATTGTCCTTTCTGATCCACATAGAAGGCCAGCCTTGTCACTTATCTTTCCAGATCTCCATCATAGGGACATACATAAGAAGCAGTGTGGGGCTGGGCGCGGTGGCTCACGCCTGTAATCCTAGCACTCTGGGAGACCGAGGCGGGCGGATTGCTAGAGTTCAGGAGTTTGAAACCAGCCTGAGCAAGAGCAAGACCTTGTCTCTACTATAAATGGAAAGAAATCAATTGGCCAACGAAAAATATATACAAAAAATTAGCCAGGCATGGTGGTACATGCCTGTAGTTCCAGCTACTTGGGAGTCTGAGGCAGGAGGATTGCTTGAGCCCAGGAGTTTGAGGTTTCTGTGAGCTAGGTTGACGCCATGGCACTCACTGTAGCCTGGGCAACCAAGTGAGATTCTGTCTCAAAAAAAAAAAAAAAAAAAAAGAAGCAGTGTGGGATAGGAATAGATTTGAATCTTAGCTCTGCTACTGTATGTCTTTTTTTTTTGAGACAGAGTCTTGCTCTGTCACCCTGGGTAGAGTGCAGTGGCATCCTCGTAGCTCACTGCAACCACAAACTCCTAGGCTCAAGTGATCTTCCTGCCTCGGGCTCAAAAGTAGCTGGGACTACAGGTACATGCCACGATGCCCTAATTTTTCTATTTTTAATAGAGATGAGATCTTGCTCTTGCTCAGGCTGGTCTCAAACTCTTGAGCTCAAGCAATCCTCCTGCCTCGGCCTCCCACAGTGCTAGTATTATAGGTGTAAGCCACCATGCCTGACCTCAATAAAAGATTTGAATCCAAAGGAAAAAAGCCACTATGATAAGAAAATTAAGTACATTCGATCTGTAATTTTGCTTAGATTATAGAGATTTTATGACCCTTCTAGGCAGTTGTTTTTGCTCTAAGTTGTGTTCTGTGAATAAAAAGTTTGGCTAAAGATCAGTATGTTCCAGTTCGCCTCCTCAAATCTATTGTGATAGTGTTGCATTACTCTGTGCTGGCCATGGAGTGTTATTGGGGGTGGGGGGAAGTTAGAGAAAAGTGACCAATATAGAAAAGGGATTCATAACCTTGTCACATAAAAGGAACTACAATGTTTACAAGAGAAGCCACAGGAAGAATCTGGGAGGTGACTTCAACTATTAGAAGAGTTAGTTATGTGTATTTCATATCACTCCTAGCTCTAAAACTAAGACCTCATAGAGTGATAGTTTCAGCTAAATAGGAGGAAGAACCTTCTGATAAATCTGTTCAATAATAGATTGTTCTGACTTAAAATATAATACATGTCTAGGTACTAGCATGTTAAACCAGAGACTACACAATCAGAAAAAAAAGTCTGAAACACCAGTGCCCAAATTTTCAGTTATAAAGACCCCATTTGCATGCCAAAAGTGAGCATCTCTCATCCCCATGTGATTATATTATTAATATATGTTATAATTCCCCATGTCCCCATGTGTTTAGCATCTGATTGACATTGTGGTTCCAAAAATTATAAGGAACTCAGTAATTCTTTTCAATAAATGTATATTTTAAGAATGACTATTTGTTGCCAGGTTTCACACCAAATCACCAACCAACAAACCAAGAATGACCCTAGAAGATACATACATTTGAAAAATAAATGAAGACATATAGGCAGACATTGATTCAGTCTATGGGTGAGGGTTGATGGAAGTGATGATTCCTAGACCCCTTGCCATAACTACCACTTAAGTAGCAATCTGGCTTCCAGAGTGGGAACCTCTGGCCTCCCAGAGTGCTAGGATTACAGGTGTGAGCCACCGTGCCTGGCCTAGACAGAGCATTTTAAATAGACGTTTTAAAAAATAACTTTTCAGAATTGTCTACGACTTGACCATTCTTTCTTTTTCCCTCTTACAGAGCTGCAGTCACGTGACCGTTGTGGACAGAGCAGTAAACATCACAGACCTTCGATGAGAGCTTGAGTCAGACACCTTCCAAGAATTACAAAACCATATCAGTGTACTGTAGCCCCTTAATTTAAGCTTTCTAGAAAGCTTCGTAAGCTTTCTTAGACAGACTAGAAAGGGGGCATCATTTGGGAAAGAGCTGATTTTCTGTTTCTGATTTAAAAAGAAATAACTGAATTATTTTTTAGACCTGGCTGGAAAACAGCATGATGACACTAAAGCACGGTAACTCAGAAATTAAGTCAAAAGAATGGTATAATGAAGTCCCATAAATCCTTCATTCTAGATTTGCCAGTTGCTAACATTTTTTTCCTTTCAGCTATCCTTCTAATTTCTATGCCAAACCTGTTTATTGTTTATCTCTGGACTAAACAAGGGCATCTATGCAGAAATTTGGAAGCCATTTAGAAAATCTTTGGGGTTTTCCGGTGGTTTATGGCAATACTAATGGAGCTTATTAAAGGATGAGGAACAGCTCACTGCATCTGACCAGATGGTGAGGCTTACAAATCTTGAAGAGTGAATTTTGTCGTAATTATTGTCATTTAACAAATATTTCAGGACATTTTTCCTCTATAATAAAATAACAATGTATATTTTTGTGCTCTAGAGTGATCCTTTTGATCAAGCATTGTATAAACAGGTTAAATAAAAGGTCTGGTTGTTTTGGGAAAGGTGAGGGGAAAATGGAATATGAGATGTCCTAACATTGAAGGTGTGTCCCAGTTCACTTTAAATTATTCAATGTTTTTTCTCTGCCTGTTGCCGGGGTATGAAGTCATCTCTGTTCTTTGGTGTTGTCTCAAGTGGGTCATCCCATTTACTTCCTCCTTATGCCCTACAAGCTTTCCACTGAGAACAGTAGAGCCTTTGTTTGGAGTACCAGGTTATGCTCCAAATAAATGATTACATTCCCTAGCCACCCCGCCCTACTAATTTTATTGTGTTGGGCATTCTTTTCTGACTAAGGAAACACCTAGGAAGGTGTTTGAAGCTGCACTTGATACTGCATTTTTCTTTCTATGAGCTGAGCCTGGTGTTCTAGGTGGCCTAGAAATAATGGTCTTATTTTTGACACCTCAGGTAAAGGCAAGAGAGTAAATACCTTGAGTAGGAGAATGATTCCTTTCTATACCAAAAATCTGTGAATGTATAAAGTTTTGCTTCATTTTAAAATCTCGTATGCCAAATATATTCAGCCTTTATTGCTTAGGTTAGTCACCCTTGAGCCTTCCCCTTGAAAGGGCCAAGTCTCTACAAGATAGCAGAAATTCTTCTGCAGTTTTTGATGTAAGTCAGAATGGGGGGCCAAGTGGGCTTGGGCACTTGCCTCTCCCCTGGGCAGCCCAGAGCAGCAGGGCTGCTCCACCTTGCCCTGCACAGTCCTAAATTGCCCAGTCCTATACTTTCTAGGAAATCATCCCCTTCTTTCCATTTTCCAGGCTACCACTTAATTTAGGGCTATATTACCTTTTACTTGGACTATTGCAATAATAGGCTTTTTACCAGATTTCTTTGTTTTTAGTGTTTCTTCATTCCAGTCTGTTCTACACACTTTGATCAGAAGAAGCTTCCCACGTTACAGCCATCTTCACGTTTCCTCTCTTGCTCAAAAACCTGCAATAACTTTCCATTGCCTAAAATCTAAATTTAAGTGTTTAGTTAGAACTTTCCACCTATGGCCACTTAAATTTCTTACTCCTGGCTACACATTCAAATACCTACAAATACCTAAGGAGCTTTTTAAAAAATACTGATGCTTATGCCCCACCCCTACCAATTAAATCTGAATCTATGGAGTGATGCCCCAGAAACTGGTTTTGTTTTGTTTTTGTTTTTGTCTTTGTCTTTCAAGCTGCTAGAATTCTCACATGCAGCCAAGGTTGAAAACTACTGCACTGATCATTTATACCTAAGACTTGTGAGCTCTCTTCTCAACCTATGCACATCATAGACATTCACCAAATGTTTGTTGAACCAAAGTGAACTATATGTATCATACATTGCAACTACATTGATCACTGACTGATCACCAAACTGCCATATTTTCTTGCCTCTTGCCATGTGCATAAAATCAGTCTGCAGACAACACCCTCTTTGCACCTGCTGCAGTCTAGCCAACACAGGCAATCTGCACAGGGTTGTGTCAGTGTCTGTCTTTACCCTCTCTCCAGCAGGGAGACATGGTTTCAATATAGCTCACAAGGAAGCAGGGAGACTGGGTAGGACAGTAGGAGAGAGGAGGAGCCAGAGTTGTAGGGAAAGGAGGAAAGGAATATTGTGAATAAAAGAGACTCAAGCCACGAAACCTGAGGAAAGAAGCGCATATTGAAAGGGTAACTACTACTCAGCTAAAGAGACTGACTCCTGGACTCCTGAGTCTCAAAGGCCAGGAGCCTTTTCCACTCTCCCAAGCTACACAAGTACCATGTTTAGTGGTCTGGGTGAGCGGGGAGACAGAGGCAGTGTCTGGCTGCATTCCAGTTGGCCTCAGAGGCACAGACCCTCCAAAGTGCCACAGGCCAGGCGCAGAGAGAATCCAGAGGAGCTGCTTTGCTGGGGGGCAGGGCAGGGCTGGGTTTTATCAGGGGATCACTTTCACATACTCCTAATTACATGGGACTGAAGGGGAAGAAGAAACCTTTAAGCCTTCATAATGCTCTCTGGAGTACCAGACACCTTGAAAGGCAGCATTGGAGAAGTAGTCCCTAGTGGGGCCAGCATCATGGTGGATATTTCTTGCTTGAGAGGCAAAGGTTTCAGCTTTCATTTTGGTACCATAGAATCTAAAATTATAAGTGCCTGTCCCCTTTGACTGTTGATCACTGCTTCTGCGTTTCAGTTACCCCAGTGGTAGGAGGTTTTTCATATTGGAGTTGAGAGGAATGGAGACCGCTGAGAACAAAGCTTTAATGAGTGAAAGTCCAGTGAGTCCTGCACCTTTGATCTGTTTCAAGTGGATTCATCATGGGCTGAGCCTGTTAGGTCCAGAATCCAGCTCTGTGGCATTGCACAGCCATGGGTCTGTGTCGTCCTCTGGTGATCAAATCTGCTTCCCCTGGAGCTTGATCCAACTTCCACCTTCTTTAGTGTCTTCTCTCACTGGTAAGTTCACTCTGAGGGCTTCCTTCCTTGAATTCCAATAGCAATTATAGCCTGTTTCCCACAATTTGGTGTGTGGTTTTTGCTATTTTGTAGTGTTTCTTACTGTCTTTATGTGAGTCGTGTCTCTGAACTATCCTGTCAATTTTATGAGGATAGGGACCATGTTTGGTTTACGCACTGTGTTAAGTGCCTTTCAGTCAGTATAGCACTTCCTATTGCTTAGCTGTTCCTTGAAATAATGTCCTTGGTATTCAGTCATGTAGTAGGAAGCCGGCTGGACCTGGGTCCCAGCCTGGAGAAACTCCACTCCCAACCTTGTGGGAGCCTATCTGAACTCCTTGACTCAGCATCGTATCTTGGGCCTGTGCTGCAGTTGAGCTCTCCTTCTAGCTGCCAGGAGGGACAGTTGTCCTGAGCAACAGCTCATTTAATGGGTGGTCAGAAGAAGATGTGCCTGCAAACAAGGCTGAAAGAGGGAGCTCAGAGAAGTAGGAAGAGACCAGGAAATAGTGACACCACCTCTTGTCATAGAAATCAAGGATGGTAACAGTTTAAGGAAGGGGAGGTCAGTGGTGCCAAATGGCTCAGAAGAGGTTTTCTGGGCTAAATGCCAGAATGAGCCCATGGGATCTGACAGTTAGCAGAGGCCTTCCCTGACAACCCCATCTAGAGCACCTCCACCTCATCACTGTCACATCACCTTCCGTATTGTCCATATGGCACTGTCCCAAGCTAAAACTCTTCTCTTTATTTATTGCTAGCTTATGTATCTACAATATACTCTTTGAGAACAGCAATTTTGTCTTTGTAGTCTCAGCCCTCTGACATCCAATAAGATATGACTAACTGCAAAGACTTGTCCAAAGTTATCCAGCTAATAACTGGTAAGCCTTTGCTTTTTTGGAACAGAGCAATGCATGTACACACATTTTGAATAATGATTTTAAAGATTGTGCAACTTAAAGATCAACAGTCATAGAAGGTTACCTCTTAGATGGTTAAAGAAAGCACATTAGAAAACAAAAACTACATATGGCGCCATATAAAGCCATTCATCTTTTATTTAGAGATGAGTGATAATGCAACATCAGAAATTAAAACTTTTAGAACTTCTACAAATTGTACAGGGAAGGAAGTTTAGAACTCGAAATACTTTAGTTATTTAATAGAGAATGAAAAGATAGGAATTAAACATTGGATTCAAATTAGAAAAAGAATAACAAAATATACTAAGAAAGCCAGGAGGAAAGAAAGAAAGAAGTTAATAAATTTTAAAATAGGAGAATAGGCTGGGCGCGGTGGCTCATGCCTATAATCCTAGCACTCTGGAAGGCCAAGGCGGGGGGATTGCTCGAGGTCAGGAGTTCAAAACCAGCCTGAGCAAGAGCAAGACCCCATCTCTACTATAAATAGAAAGAAATAATTGCCAACTAAAATATATAAAAAAAATTAGCCGAGCATGGTGGCGCATGCCTGTAGTTCCAGCTACTCGGGGGACTGAGGCAGTAGGATCACTGGAGCCCAGGAGTTTGAGGTTTCTGTGAGCTAGGCTGACGCCACGGCACTCACTCTAACCTGTGCAACAAAGCGAGACTCTGTCTCAAAAAAATAAAATAAAATTAAATAGGAGAATAGGTAGATAAATTCACAAGGTCTTTTTTTGAAAAAGCACTAAAGTAGCCAAAGAGGAAACAGAAAAATGTATATAAAGTTAGAAATGAACAAGTAGAGAAATATATAAGAAAGTCCTATGTATAACTAAGCTAATGAATTTGCTACTCACGAAATAGATGATCTTCTGGTAAAAGAAAAATTATACATGTGAAAGAAGAAAAAATTAAGAAGTAGAAGATGTCCAGGAGGCCGAGGCAGGCAGATTGCTCAAGATCAGGAGTTCAAAACCAGCCTGAGCGAGACCCCGTCACTACTAAAAATAGAAAGAAATTAATTGACCAACTAAAAATATATATAGAAAAAATTAGCCGGGCATGGTGGTGCATGCCTCTAGTCCCAGCTACTCGGGAGGCTGAGGCAGAAGGATTGCTTGAGCCCAGGAGTTTGAGGTTGCTGTGAGCTAGGCTGATGCCACGGCACTCACTCTAACCTGGGCAACAAAGTAAGACTCTGTCTCAAAAAAAAAAAAAAAAAAAGATGTCAAAGAGATGGAGAAATGGAATAAATGTACAAGTATTACCTTCATATACTTTTATGAGTAAATTCTTTCAAATTTTGAAAGAAAAGATCATTCTTATGCCATTTTTTTATTGTGGTAAAAAACACATCAAATTTACCAATGTAACCAGTTTTAAGTGTTCAGTTCAGTAGTGTTAAGTATATTCATATTGTTGTGAAACAGATCCCTAGAACATTTTTATCTTGCAAATCTGAAACTCTTAAGTCCTAGCTACTCAGGAGGCTGAGGCAGGAGGATCTTCTGAGCCAAGGGGTTTAAGACCAGCTTGGGCAGACAACATAGTGAGATCCCGTCTCAGAACCAGACGGAAACTCTACGCCCATTCCACTCCCTTTCCCCCCCACTCCTACCTTCTGGTAACTGCCATTCTGCTTTCTGCCTCTATGAATTTCACTTCTTTAGATAACCTCATATAAGTAAAATCATATAGTACTTGTCTTTTTTGTGACTGGCTTATTTCATTTATCATAATGTCCTCATGGTTCATCTGTGTTGTAACATGTGAGATGATTTTTCTTTCTTTTTAAGGCTGAATAATACTCCATTGTGTGTAGATACCACATTTTGTTTATTCATCCTTCCATCAGTGGACACTTGGGTTGCTTCCACCTCTTGACTATTATGAATAATGCTGCTATGAACGTGGGTATGCAAATATGCTGTTTTAATTTTTGTAGAGCATAGGAACATTTTAAAAACCAACATAACTCATTTTTTAAAGCAGAACTATAGCTTACAAATAACTCATTTTTGTGAATACAACCTCATAAATTGTGTACACACATACACTTCACACCAGTCTCAATATAGCTGCAAAAATTCTAAATCAAATATATCCATATAGTAAAAGAATAATGTATCACAACTGCCAGCATTTATTGTGCATCCTCATTTAAAACTTGCCCATGATTCTCCAGCTAGTAAGTGATGGGCCAGGATGACAGCCCAGGTTTACTTGTCTCAGAGAGCCTGTGATACATTTGGTGATTTTGTCCCCAGAATGTAACAATGGCCTCATTAAAAGAAATCCACTCTATAATATATCACAGAAGTAGGTCAAAGGAAACAGAAAAGAGTCTCTCATAAAAAGTATCTTAAGATGAAAATTAACATTTATTCTTTATTTTTAAAACTCCCCTATTAAATTAGGAAAGAAAGAAGCTTCGTTAACATGATACAATAAATATGCTGATACAGTACCCAGCATCATTCTTAATAAGCAAATAATGTTGTCAAGGACAAGCTAGATCCATTCTAACTATTAATATGTTACTGAATAGTGTCCTAAAAGGATAATCTAGCCAATGTAATGAAGCAGGGTAAAGAGTCTACTATTGGAAAAGAGACACAGTTTTGGCTAAATACTACAAACTAAGTATCTACCTAGATATCTGAAAAAAATGCTTAAGCCTAATAAGAAAGAGTTGTAAGGTTGTTCAGTAAAATATACATTAAAAGCCTTTGAAAATAGCTTTCCAGTACAGTTAATAGCCAGTTGTGGTTGGGAAAAAAGAAAAATCTCAACCACTCTAGCAGTAAAAATATAAAATGCCTTGGAACAAAGTTAAGAGGAAACATGTAAGCCTTATAGCAGGAAAACTACTAAGTTTTCCATAAGGAAATGAAAGTAAATAAATGGAAAGACAGACATAATATATGTATTCCATGAGGGGGAGATCTAGTGCTTTAAAGATGTTAATTCTTCTTTAATCCAAAATTTAAAATGCAAGTCCACTAAAAGAATCTCATTTTTAACTTGAAAATAATATTCTAAAATTAATCGGAAATATGTGAAATAACCATTAAAAACTTGAAGGAAGGCCAGATGTGAGAGCTCAGGCCTATAATCCCAGCTCTTTGAGAGGCGTAGGTAGGAGGATCACTTGAAGCCAGGAGTTCAAGACCAGCCTGAGCAACAAAGGGAGATCCCCATCTCTACAAAAATAAAAATAGAAAATAAGCTGAGCATGGTGGTGCACACCTGTAGTCCCAGCTACTTGGAAGGCTGAGGCAGGAGGATTGCTTGAGCCCAGGAATTTGAGGTTGCAGTGAGCTATCATGATGCCACTGCACGCTAGCCTGGGCAACAGAATGAGACCCTGTCTCATTTACTGTCTCGGGAAAAAAAAAATTCTTCCTTGAAAGAATAATAATAATATTAGGAGGAATTTTATTACCAGATAACTTTTATTATAAACCTATAAGTTAAAATAATGTGATACTAGCTGAGAACTAGATTAAGAATTAGCAAACTTTGTTGTTGAAGAAGTAAGACTTAAAGAGTCAAGTTGCCCATGGCCATAAAGGTCATAGAACTCCAAATGAATAGTATCATACTTCCAAACCCACTTTCTTAACCATGCTGCAATACTGCCTTCCTAAAATATACATAGATGCATGTATTCAGAAAAACTATGAGAAACTATTTCTGTTGTGGTGTTTGACAAATAAAAAATCAGGAGAAGGCCGGGTGCGGTGGCTCACACCTGTAATCCTAGCACTCTGGGAGGCCAAGGCGGGGGGATTGCTCGAGGTCAGGAGTTTGAAACCAGCCTGAGCAAGAGCAAGACCCCGTCTCTACTATAAATAGAAAGAAATTAATTGGCCAACTAATATGTATAAAAAAAATTAGCCAGGCATGGTGGTGCATGCCTGTAGTCCCAACTAGTCGGGAGGCTGAGGCAGCAGGATTGCTTGAGCCCAGGAGTTTGAGGTTTCTGTGACCTAGGCTGACGCCACGGCACTCACTCTAGCTTGGGCAACAAAGCAAGACTCTGTCTCAAAAAAAAAAAAAAAAAAAATCAGGAGAAAATTAAAGAAGAATTAAAATACAAAGTATTATTTTTGAAAGAAAGAAATTAAACATATATACATATATCAATATTAGTTACCTGTAGGCAATGGAATTATGGAATGACTGTTATTGTTTTTCCCTTTATCCTTTTCTGAATTTTTCAAATGTACTACAGAGAACATGTACTGCTTTTATAATTGCACAAAAAAGACAATACCTTCTATTTTCAGAAACCAAAACTCCATTGCCCCTTCAATGTGGGAATCTAGCCAAGACCTTATTCTTGGACAGCATCAGTGAAAGGGCCTTGGGAAAGCTCTTGGGTGTAGCAGCAGAGGCATGTCATATATGGAAACCTTCCATGAGGGTGACCTCACCGCTGGAGCCTGTTCAACATAAACCTTGCTGCAAGAACTAGCAGAGATCTTTGGACAAAACCCAGTGGGTGGAGAACTAAGAAAGAACTGACCTAAAGAAGAGAAGTGCTTCTGCAGGATCTACCTCTACAGTCCTCAAATAAATTTAAAAAAGAAGTAAAATATTTTATGAAAAAAATTATATAAATTAAAAAAAAAAAAAGAAGAGAAATGCTGCCTTTATGGCCTGAAGAAGTCCTGATTATCCATCCAAGCTTAGCAGATCTCTTTTGTGATCTATTCCTAGGGAAGAATTGCTTTTCTCAACCTCCAGAAAAGAACTCCCACAATAGCCCTGGGTTATTTCTGTCTTTTTCTGAAAACATAGATTGTTACTTGTGTTGGACAAATCATTACGGGTTATTAGTGGGTGACAGAAGTGGAGATATTACCTTGAGTCAAGGAAGTAAAGTTATTCTTAGATATTCCTCTGTCATTCCCTGTAGTTAGGTTCCCTATCCCTGGCAGTCTCCTCTCTTCACCCCACTTTGCCTTAAAAAAAGCGAATGACATCATAGCAAAGCACAATTCCATCAAATATGGCCCATGCCGTCTATAGCACTGGCCCCTTTGCCATTTTGAATGGCTCATAACACCCTGCTCACCACGTTAAAACACCTGTGTCTACAACGTCTCTCACCCAGCCTAGTTCTACACCTTTCCCATGACTTAGGAGTTTTAAATTGTTTTTAATGGAAACATGGTAGACTCACGATAAGTTCACACAACTATTTTATTTCCCAGTCCCAGTGTTGCTTTGTAAGCACAAGGTCTCTGATTATACCCTTGAGACTTCAGCTGACCCAGGGAGAGATCACATAATGAGAACAGAATCATGTCTTAGTACAAATTCTTTTAATTGCACTGACGGAAAATTCAAACTGGTATTCAGGCACAGCTGGATTCAGTGTCCATTGTCATCAGGTTCATTTTGTATTCATCTCTAGGCTCATATGCTTAATGTGTATTCATTTAATTAGATTTTCTAATAAGGTAGCATTGACACCTATAGGTTTATATAGCCTATTGGCCTGGTAAACCCATCAAGGAAAAGAAACTTCTGAGTCCAACAGGTTCAACACAAGTCCTGGAATTGAGTTATTAGGTCATGGTTTTGGTCATGACTTCATCCTTGGACCAATCACTGTGGCCAGGAGGATGGAATACTCTGATTAGCCAGGCCTGGGTCATGTACCTATTCCCCGTCTGTCCCATGTACCTATTCCCACATACACTGAGAGTGGAGAAGTACCTAGGTCCCAGGTACCTATTCCCACATACACTGAGAGTGGAGAAGCATTCATTTCCAAAGAAAAATCATGTTGGCATTAGCAGCGGAAGGAGAAGTAGATGCTGGACAGGCAAAGGCAAGAGATGTCCATGACGGGTGCCTAGGAGAAAAAGCTGGAGCCTACCATCTCCACGTAGGCTTTATGATCCAAGGTGAGTGAACTAATAAAATGTAAACGGGAACACTAAGTGGTATTGGCTTTAGATAATAATAGCTAGACTATGGGATGGTGACCCTCTCAATCCCAAAAGGCAGGTCACACATCCAGTCCATGGGTCATTCACTAAATTTGCATATATTGAGCACCCGCTGTGTGCAGAGCACTGTTCAAAGTACGCAAAAAGTATTCATGGATGCTAAGCTCTCTGTCCTCAAGCAACAGATAATGGAGGGAGATAAAGGAGCCATATGCTGGTGACATAGCACAAGAGCAACTTCTTCATGATTGATGAGCATACACGGAATAATGAGCACCAACTTTACCTGTAAGTGTTGAGGGAAGCCAAGTGAGGGAGAAATGAATGTTTTCATTTTAATCTATTTACACTCCACTTTTAACTCAACAAATATTTTCTATATGCCTACTAAGTGCTAAGTCCCATAGAACTTGATATAGGTAGACTCTAGATAACTTATAGAAAAGATTTCAGATAGATTCCCAGGATATGTAAAATGTTAAAAAGAGAAAATGAACAGGAGTGAAGAAGAATGTAGAAATCAAGTATGCAACCAAATGAATTCAGCAGCAAAGAGAAAAATGTAAACCATGATTATTTACATACATCCCCACCATGGATGGGCCAAATGTTGTGTGATATCATAAATAATTTGTATAATAAACCCAAACATCAACTAGAAGGATTCTGGATTTCCATAAAAATAATGGAATTTCACTAAAACACAATATATAGTAAAAGTAATTCTACTAGAACTCTGATGAGTGCAGGGCAGGGGAGGTATAGTCCAGCTGAGACACCTGTTTGTCTGCTAACCTGACTTAACCTAGGACTGTATTTTGTCACATTTGGGAGCTCAGATGGACTACATGCATTTTAAACAACTCTGAGTTTCTGTTTGGTGACATTTTAATAAATATTTAGTGACAGTGAGCTTCGAATTGTAATCCTTGGCAAGTGCCTGAGGTGCAGCTGCCATTCTTTATTGGTGGCTGAGGAAGATCCAAGGTTCTCAACTTTCAACTCGTTTTTGTTTTGTTTTAACACAGCTCACCAAGGTGAAGTAATAGAGCCCATAGCCCACTTACTCCAGCGATTCCCACTTTACAATGGAAGAGGAACTTGCAGTAACCACAAAGGGTTTCTGTATAAGCAAATTTGGGTAATCAAATTTTGGACAGTGTGGTTGTCTTTTTATTTATAAACTGGGGAATAGCCTGGGAATGAATGCCTCCCAAGGTAATAACATGAACATCAGAGGTTTTGATCTGTAGTCCTTTCTGTCCATAATTAGCTAGTAGCTTCTGTTGTATATACAGACCATTCCTTATCTAAGAAAACAAAGCCATATCATCAGAGTGAAAAAGAATATCTCCTTTTGTTTTTGTTTTTTTGTTTTTTTTTTTAATAGCACAGGGCTATGTAACCAGCTCATACAAAGACAGTACCGAAGTTGTTTTTTAATGAGTGGAAAAGTACTGGGTGTCAGAGCCCAGCCTGGATCAGCCCTCAGGAAAGTTGTTCCCACCACTGTGACCCACAAAGAGGAAGAGCAGTGCCTGATCAATTCACCCAGGGCCCAGAACTGAGGAAAGGTCAATAAAAGTTGCAAATGATTTGATATGATCCTTACCACCATAAGGCAAAAATTATGACATTAATGGCCTGTGAAGGAATTGTTGTTTAAAGCTCATCTCTTCCTATGTCGAATGCTGGTCTGAGAAACCCAATTTGCACAATTTGTTAAGAAACTGGCATAGAATTTTGGTAGAATGGCCAATAAACAAATAGACTTTTCACTTGAATTAGAGGAGACAGAGATTGTCCTTATGCAAGATGAGATAAACAGGACTCTGGGTCTAGCCCAACAGAGCCAAGTCCATCAAGTAAAATACTAAGTAATAAACACAATAAATAAATAGAACTGAGGATTGGAGCCACAACTCAGGAGCACGGATAACTCCAGAGGAAAAAGTCCTCTCTGGGCACGTTATTTATCTCAAGTTTTAAAATTGCCTGGGCAGTGGCGCACCATAACTGGGCTCTAGTCAGAGACAGGCTTCATATTTATAAAACGTGGGACAGTTAACCGTGTTTTGTGAGAGCTGGAGAAAGTGAACATCTTAGGTGTTACTTAGCATTTCGCCCCACACAAACCTCTCTCCAGGGTACCTCAAAAAACGCTTCCAGACTCTACCCTTGTTGCCAGATGTATTAGCCAGATTCAGTCCCCAATACAAGATGTTACTGAAATAAAATATTTTTAGACAGGGAAAAATGGATGATAAACTTTAACTTTATGAGGTCCTGAGTGGCCTCTTCCCATTTTGGTTTTTCACAGCTTCATTCGACTCGTTAAAAGGTAGTTTAGGCCGGGCACGGTGGCTCACGCCTGTAATCCTAGCTCTCTGGGAGGCCGGGTGACGGATTGCTCAAGGTCAGCCGAGTTGCAAAACCAGCCTGAGGCAAGGGAGACCGTCCTCTACTATAAATAGACAGAAATTAATGCCAACTGATATTACTATAATCACCATTACAAAAAATATAGCCGGGCATCGTGTGCGCATGCTGTAGTCCGCAGCTACCTCGGGAGGCCTGAGGCAGGAAGGATCCTCGAGCCAGGAGTTTGAGGTTGGCTGTGAGGCTAGGCTGATGCCGACGCACTCCCAGTCTAGGCGCTGGGCAACAAAGCGAGACCTCTGTCTCAAAAAAAAAAAAAAAAAAAGGTAGTTTGGTTACCAAAAAATTCTCCTTAAACCCAAAATGTGGGTAAAATAAACCTGATTCTAAGTTATTATATTTGCATTATCTTGTTACACAAGAACCTCACCTTCAGAATGCTACAAGTGACAATTCCAATAATTCTCAGCTAATACCAAATTGCAAGTATGATTTTTCCTCCAGCCCTAGGGGAGGCACAATGCTAAGGTTTTGAGGACAGGCTCAGGAGCTAGACTGACCTGGGATAGATTCCTGGCTTCCTCACTGCCTGTGTGACTTCAATGAATAACTTAATTTCCCTGGGGCCTTGAAGTCCTCAATGCTGTAAAATGTAAATAATACCACGATTAAATGAGATAATGCAAATACAGGGCTTAGTACAACTGTAGCATGCAGCACGATCCAGTAGGTAGCAACTATGGATAATAACAATAATATTAACAGTAATAATAATGAGGCCTACAGGCAGTAGTTTGCTCTAAATCATCCTTTTGGGACTAATCTTCCAGGGGAACATCATCGCCTTGCCAAAAGAGGTGGGCAGAGGGTCCTAATAGCCCAGGTTTACCTGAGTCCTCATATGTTGAAGCCGTTTGCAGGGAAACCACAGCCCTTAATCACAAAATGAAGGGAGAGGTCCTGCTTTTATTTAAAAGCCCCCCTTCTACGTAGGCAGGCCTGAGTGTCAGGTAAAGAGCTTGACTTCTGATCGGGCACGGTGGCTCACGCCTGTAATCCTAGCACTCTGGGAGGCTGAGGCAGGAAGATCACTCAAGGTCAGGAGTTCAAAACCAGCCTGAGCAAGAGCAAGACCCTGTCTCTACTATAAACAGAAAAGAAATTAATTGGCCAACTAAAATAAGAAAAAACCTAGCCGGATATGGGGCACACATGCCAGTAGTCCCAGCTACTTGGGAGGCTGAGGCAGGAGGATTGCTTGAGCCCAACTTTGAGGTTGCTGTGAGCTATGATGATGCCTCTGCACTCTAGCCTGGGCAACAGGCTAGAGTTTTTTGTGAGACTCTGTCTCAAAAAAAAAAATAAAATAAAAAAGCTTGCCTTCTAAAAGAACTGTCCAGTGGGCGAGCTACTAAACCAATCACTATTTCTTTATTTCTTTTACTCTTTTTTGAGACAGGGTCTCACTCTGTCACCCCGGCTAGAGTGCAGAGGCATCATCATAGCTCACAGCAACCTTAAAGTTGGGCTCAAGCAATCCTTCTGCCCCAGCCTCCCAAGTAGCTGGGACTACAGGAGCTCACCACCATGCCTGACTAATTTTTCTATTTTTTGTAGAGACAGGGTCTCCCTCTTGCTCAGGCTGGTCTCAAACACCTGAGCTCAAGCAATCCTCCTGCCTTTGCCTCCCAGAGTGCCAGGATTACAGGCATGAGCCACCGTGCCTGGCCACTAACCATACTTTTAAATCCCTCCAGTCCCCTTCCCCCATCACCACCAACCCTGGCTTCTCCAGGCTTCTGAAATGAGGACAGGGTGTGGGGGAACACACCCCAAGTGCTTGCCAGGAAGTGCGGGAGTGTGAGGGTGAGGGAACTGCCCGATAATAAGGGAAGAAGTGCAGTTATTTGAGCCTGGATTGTGGGGGACCTCCCAGGCCAGCCCAAGACTCAGAAAATGCGGAAAGTGGAGAGGGCTGTACAGGCATACTACCTGTACAATTGTTCCAAGGCCACTGCAATAAAGCAAATATTGCAATAATAGCAAGTCACTAATTTTTTGGTTTACACTATGCATATGAAAGTTATGTTTACACTATAGTATATCATGTGTGCAATAGTATTATGTCTAAAAAAATCAATGTATATACCTTAGTTTTAAAATACCATATTGCTAAAATATGCTAATGATTATTGGAGCCCACAGTGAGTCATAAATAATCTTTTTGCTGGTGGAGGGTCTTTCTTTTTCTTCTTTTTTTTTTGAGAAAGAGTCTTGCTCTGTTGCCTAGACTAGAGTACCATGGCGTCAGCCTGGCTTACAGCAACCTCAAACTCCTGGGCCCAAGCAATCCTCCTGCCTTAGCCTTCCCAGTAGCTGGGACTACAGGCATGCGCCACCATGCCTGGCTAATTTTTCCTATTTTAGTAGAGATGGGGGTCTCACTCTTGCTCCGGCTGTTTGCGAACTCCTGAGCTCAAGCAATCCTCCGCCTTTGCCTCCCAGACTGCTAGGATTACAGGCATGAGCCACAATGCCCAGCCAATTTTAGCTACTAAAATTTTTCAATTCTGTAATTCCCATTTGGTTTGTTCTGGATTTCAATTTTCTCCACTGAAAATATCCATCTTGTCATCTATTTTCTTGACTATATTAATCATGGTTATTTGAAGCTAAGTTATTTGAAAGTCTATGTCTGATTATTCTAAAATATAGATCCTCTGTGGTCTGTTTCTATTGTTTGCTTGTTTCTCTCTCAGTTCTATTTCCTGGTATTTGTGATAATTTTTTTTATTGAACACCAGATATTATAGACAAAAGTTTGTAGATCTGTTGATAATATTATCTTCCTCTAGAGGATTTACTCTAGATTTTGGCAGGCAGGCAGAGCTCACCTTATTCCAATCTGGAATTAAACATTTTCAAATCTGGATGCAGTCTTTCTAATGCCTGGTTTATTTCTGGTTTCCCTTACTCCTAGAGGACAGTTTTTCAAGGGTCCTGTATTAGTCAGGATTGACCAAAGAAATAGAACCAAGAGGATGTGTGTATATATGTATGTGTGAATATACATATATGTGTATGTATATATACGTATATACACAAGACTGAGAGAGAGAGATAATGAGAGAGATGGGCTAGGAGAAAATATCAGAGTTTGGGGCCCACTGTGGAGGAGGTGCCCTGTGAAACACTCCAGGCTTTCCCCTGGCACCGGTGATGGTTAATTTTATGTGTCAATTTGGCTAGGCCATGGTACCCAGCTATTTGGTCAAACGT